CAGGGCCCCGCCCCCGGCCACACCCAGCCCCTCCCCTCTACACATGGCCCCACCTCTGACCTCGCCGAGGGCCATTAGTGAGCTGACTCCGCCCCCCACCCCCTGAGCTGCCATGTCTGAGCCGCAGTCCCCGCTCATGCCGTAAGCGAAGCCCTGCAGTGCCGTGTTCTCCCGCTCTTTCCCCTCCTCCTGTTTGGGCAGTTCGCTCCCTAGAGGCCCGGCTCCTGCCACGGCGGCGCGTCTCGCAGACAGCAGCCCGCCAAAATAAAAGCCTTGAACAGCAGACAGCAGCCCGCCAAAATAAAAGCCTTGAACATCAGACAGCAGCCCGTCAAAATAAAAGCCTTGAACAGCAGACAGCAGTCCGTCAAAATAAAAGCCTTGAACATCAGACAGAAGCCCGCCAAAATAAAAGCCTTGAACATCAAACAGCAGCCCGCCAAAATAAAAGCCTTGAACATCAGACAACAGCCACAGCTGCGTCACACGGATATGCTGTTTCCGTTCAGATCAAATAACAACAATGTAGGAAACAGATGCGGCGTGACACGTCGGATTTCATCAAAAATATCTTAATTTGTGTTTGGAAGATGAACGAAGGTCTTACGGGTTTGAAACGACATGAGGATGAGTAATTATTGACATAATTTTCATTTTCGGGTGAACTAACCCTTTAAAATAGTGCATCATTCAGATTAACTTCAGTTAACATGAAAGAAGAAAAGAGCTCTGAATAGCGTTAGCCAATCAGTTTTGATAGTTAATCGGTTGTTTTATTTGACTAGCATGTCAAATGTGTTTAAAGCATCGCTGCATGTTAGGGCTGGGTGATGTGACAATACATATTGGCCTATCGGGGTAAGCGAATATATCCGTGCAGCTTTTAGTGGGCAGGAATTATTGGAATAATGGAGTGGAAAAAGGAGCATGAATGAATGAGCAATAGAAAGTGATGTGCTTGGTGCAGAGTGGAACGACAAGTAGGCCTACACTTCTGACTTAAACAATAATAGGGTATATGTCGAATATCACCTGACCAAACCCGGAAAACAGGTCTCATTGCTTCCGCTTGTCGGAGAACGTGTTAACAACCGTATTAAATAATAGCGATATCTATGGACTTTTAAGATAATCAGTTAAACTAGCTAGCTGTTTTTATTGTTGACGTTTTATTCAATTTTTA